GATACCCTCAAATGACACTCAATTGATACTTGATCTACACTCCATTGACACCTTGGTTGAAACTCCGTCGACATCTCGGTCGACACAGTCAACTACTTTTCGATCATTGCTTATGAGTCGGCTAACTATTGAGCGACTGTTGGTTAAATGTCTACCGAGTGTCGATTGAGTATTGATCGGGATGTCTATCATACACCACTCAAGATGTTGATCAAGGGTATCGATTGAGGGTATCGATCAACACTTGACCGTGGATACCTTTAGTACACATGATCCAAAACACCTGTATTTTTTATTTACCATGTATGCATATAAAGCAGTTGTAAGTACATGTATTCTGACATACTACTGTAACTTTGATTACTTTGTAGGTTTGGGGTACATGCTTATTGAGGGAGCCTACACTGATGCATTTATCCTTCATGAGAAATCTGAGTACGACTCTCAGTTTCCATTGTCTGACACCGGCGATGATGACAGCTTCCTCCATGGCCAGGATATTGCTGATCCTCGCAAGGCCTTGAACGACACCTGGCTGAAACATTTTAGATATCAGCCACTGTGGAAAATAAGGAATTACTTTGGGGAGAAGATTGCGCTGTATTTTGCTTGGCTTGGTGAGTTCATTTGTGATGCTCATTCAATGTATTGTTGGTGTCAAATAGACCATATTAAAGAAAAGAATTGTGGTATTACTTAGATATTTTATGAGGCATTCAGCATTCAGTAATTTTGTTTATCCTGAAATGATATTTTAGGTTTGCTGAACATGTCACTTGTTTTACCTGTGCTGCTTGGACTTGCTATTTTCTTCTGGGGACTTGGCGTAGCGTAAGTTATTATTCAAAATAAATCATTAATAGCAAGATAATATTGTAGTGTTATTATCAGGTGGTATGCATGTGTTTAAATAAGTCTTGCTCAAGATCCAAGCCCAAGCCAAGCCCAAGGTTTCTCTAGAAAGCCACTTGGATGCCTGTGTTCCCTGCAGTCAGCAGATGCAGACATGAAAATAAGCATGCAGTGACACATCTCTCCTAGGACACCTACATTTCAAATCTTTGCTTCAGGCCTGTGAACTCCCTCACATGAATGTTCATAGGCTTGGCTTTACACTGTACATTTAAGATTGTCTGGTAGCCATTTTCACTTTCGATGAGTTGACAAAATACAACATAAGTGAAGTGTGTCACATGTATCTGAGAATACAGCATGATAAAATGGACTGTCTAAAACTCTCCACTGTATTTCTGGATCTTGGACTAAAGTCCCTTCACCATACAGTTCTTTTAAGACATTGATGATTTTCTACATTCTTATCACCTCTCTGTTTGACATGTGTTGATATGGTAGGGAGAAACAATCATTGATCACTTTTGAGATGGAAACACACTTTGGTTATATTCTTGATCTCATTCTGTAATGTGCTTCTGGACTGGAGTTGAGTAAGACAAGTTTTGTTAAGGTTGTGTTTGGCTTCTTCATTTTGTATTTCATCTCTAACTCTGAACTTTTTTAATATAATGTTATTCCCAATCCCTTCTTCAACAAATTTACTGTTGTGGTAGCCTACTAGAAAGCTGCTGAATCAGCTCCTTTGACCACTACACATTTCCTTTAATGTTTAACATGATTTTGCATTTGTTGCAATTCTGTTTTACTGATCATTGTCAACTTAAACACTAATATACCATTTTAATGGAAGTAAGTGTTAAGCTTGAACCTGAACTTGTGTGCTTGTCTGTAATTTAGTTCTTTGTCTTTGATTGGTCTGTGTTGTAAAATGTGCCATAAAGCCAAAAGGTAGTTTCACCATTACTAGCTCCCAGTCAAGAGCTATGCTTACATAGGGACCACATATACATGCAGTTAATGTAACATCTGTGACAGCCCACTTGTGAATAAGGTTACCTAATCCCATGTTATAATATACATCAACATGTATAACTTAAACAAAAAATGCCACAATTGCAGTCAGGGATGGACATCAGTGGTATACAATCAAAGGTTTGTTTGACACTGACTCTACTTTAAACCGACGAAGACCGATACTACTGATGTATAACTTGTTGGCAGACATTTTCTCTTCTCTATCTACTAGCACTCTTTTGCTCTATAAAGACTTAACAACATCTGGTAGGTGAGTTGTCTATCTGGCTCAACTTTGTTTTGACATTTTCTTTAACACATAATTTCTCTTCAAACTCCTGTTCTCTTCTTTCGCGTATTAATGTTTGTTATACTTAAGATGCCATTGTCTCCTCTCTGCTTTTCTTCGTTGGCCCTTAAATGCCTCTTATAACTATTTTCAATTTGAGCCTTTTTTGTTGAGCAATAAACATCAAATTATTGATGCCCATCTTCTATTGGTACTGTTTAGAGGCAGCTATTTGTGATTCTTCACATCTGGTCTAACTTGTCTTATAGTAACAATAAGTAATAATTTTTATATTTGAATTTCCACCTCTGGTTTTCTTTGTTGGCACATGTATCATTCTTAATAATTATTGGCAGCCCTTGAACTATGAAACTCTCTTTCTATGATTAATGATACAGTCATTTCATGGCATTTTCTGAGTGCATCAATGCTCTAAACTCATGAATCCTGTGTTGTTATTTCTATAAGTTAAAACTTGCTTGTATACCTCAGACTCTTCTTCAATTCCTGACAAATGTCCTAGTCTAGACTACAGTTTTTGTAGTCAAAAATGCCGTTAATGCCAACTTTATCAAGTTCCACTGTGGTGACGTTGAGAGGAAGGATAACAATTCTGTTTTTCCAGTCTGTAGTTAAATAACTTCCAACAGCTGTAAGACTTAAGTTTTATCATGTTATTTTCTAGTGTGGTGGATAATCCTATGGACGAGCAGGAAAATTCCACAGCAGTGTCAACCGTCACTCTTTGGGCCAAGAATGCTTTTGACAATGATGCAACACCGTTCTTTGCTTTGATTATTTGCTTGTGGGGTAAGTTATGACACAAACCATAGTTACATGTAATAGAGGGACATGGTTAGGAAACCTGGCAAAGTTCTTTGTTTGTTTGTTTATTTTGGGGTTGACCTTGCACAAAACCTGGCAAAACACAAAAGGTGTTTACTTTTCTCATCCGGTATTTTCCAAGAGAAAATTAATAGAAAACATGCTCTGCATTTCTATCAAGTTACTAAGAGACTCGTGGAAGTCTGGGAGAACTCAAAAAAGCTGTGGGAACAGTTGCCTGTCAGCTCATGTTCCCACAACATTTCTTATTCTCCTAAACTTCCACTCGTGTTTCAATAACTTGATAGGAACACGGAACATATTTTCTATTTCTCCACTATATATAACAAAAACGTTTGATATCCTCGTTTGTAGGGACAATATTTTTGGAGCGATGGAAACGAGCAAATGCGCGGTTATCATATCAGTGGGATGTGGACACCTTTGAAGAACAGGTATGTTGTAAATCTGAGTAACCTAAAACAAATTCATGGTGTGCTTGTTTTTAACACTAGATTGACTGCAGGTATTTATTTAACCCACTGATTGTTTTCTAACCTTAGGAACCAAATCGCCCTCAATATTATGGCACAGTCATGAAAATGGTAAGACTGTAATTTTTTGTTATCTGCAAATTGCTTCCTTGATGTTACTGCTAGTCAGTCATTGCTGCTCTCGTAACGTAATAACTAAATAATTTGTACAAAGAGGTAGTTGAACCAAAATTTTGGGGTAACGTAAAGTTCAGGTATAAGAGGTTGCCCTATAATTCCTTTTCAACTCGGTTTTGGATGTATGTATTGCTGTCAAATTAAATAAAATAAATGAAATAAAACTAAAAGTTAGTTAATTAAAACTCTCATTGTTTCAGTTCCATTTATGGTGTAATTTCTTCCGTTCAGGACCCAGTGACAGGAGACGAGATCTCGGTTTACCCAGTCATAAGAAGGTTCTTCAAGATGTCTGGCTCATTTAGCGTCATGTTATTTATGGTAAGATCATTAGTTAAGTACATTCTAGGTAAGGTAAAAAGGGTAAAGTCTGTATACGAGCCGAGTGGCCCATCAGGCCGACGTTTATCTCCGGTGTCAGTAGCATTAAGCGAATAATAGTATTTCTATTCCCCTTTGGATGGGATGCTACTCCATTGCAGGGTTACCCCGAGCATTAAATTCGGCGGTACCTATTTATACACCTGGGTGGAGAGAGGCACTGAGGGAGTAAAGTGTCTTGCACAAGAACACAACACGTTGTCCTCGGCCAGGGCTCAAACCCAGACCGCTCGATCTGGAGGCTAGTGCACTAACCATGTACATTCTGCGTTAGCATTTTGCGTGACAAAACAAATTGTTTGTAGAGTTCTCCCATGGTAACACCAAGGTGTTTTCTGTGTTTTTGCACCAGATCTGCTTGGTGCTGGGCAGTGTTGTTGCGGTGATAATTTACCGAGTCATTGCCAGGGAAGATCTGTTCAAGAGCAGAGGAGAAGCTGGTTTACTGATGGCCAGTGTTACTTCAACGTTTATCAACACCCTCTCTATCATGATCATGGGAAAGGTATGTACTATCACCTCATATTTGTGCGATTTACAACAAAGTGCACTTTTGGGGTCGGGCAATAAGTAAGTCTTGTATAATATATTTATAGCTACTTGTACGCGCATTCATCGAGTTGAAAAACAAGTCAGTACGTACATTGTATTGTGTTTTGAAGCAAGGTCTTTGTAGATTCCTTGAGTCGGGGACCAGATAAGTTCTCTCCAAGAACACTACGTGGAGTGCGTGAAAAGGTCTCCGCTAAGTTTAAAATACAAAGAGTTATGTTCTTTCGAAGGAAGAAACTTTACTTATTTTACCTGGTGTTGACGTAGTGTAAATTTGTCCTTGTTGCAGATTTACCAGAAGTTAGCAGTGTACTTAACGGACTGGGGTAAGTGAGGCAAAGGAACTGAACCAAGTTGAAAACAGACTTTAAATCTCTTTTTTTTTAAATCCTGCACAGAAGGCAGAACGCACGAGTTTTTTTCCGTTGTAACCTCTCAGCTCCCAGTTGTAAACGCATAATGTACATATGAAGCCGGAAGTATTTTGGGACACTAATCCTGATAGACTATCGGAACATCAAATCTATTCTACAGTTTGTACTTGAAATATTTTTTTGTCGAACAAAAGTAGAGCTGTGTTCATTAACAGTTGTGCTTTTCTCAACAGAAAATCACAGAACGCAGACATCGTACGAAGATGCGCTCATTATCAAGCTGTTTGGATTCCAGTTCGTGAATTCATACACTTCTCTCTTCTACATCGCTTTCTTTCGCCAGGTACAGTGCTGTATGAATATTGTGCAGGACCAAAATGTACATGTATATTAATTAGTTATCCGTGTATTACCAGTTGTGGTCAACATCTTATTTCTCGATACAATTTTAAAACATTGTCCCACAGAAAGGAGGGGAAAGTGTTAGCGATTTTACCAGCTGTATCTACTTTGCTGCGTTGTTATACGTAGTGAATTAATCTGTTTTGTTGCATTGTTTGACTCAGGACACAAAGGAAACAGGCGTCATCGGCAAAGGGGAGAATTACAGCGACGAGTGTGGTGAGAACAACGACTGCATGACACTGCTGTCACTTCAAGTCGCCATGTTAATGATCATGAAACCTGTTCCTAAGCTCTTCTCGGATGTCATTAAACCGTAAGTATTTACTTTGCTAGCCTCTGTTTATCGTCCATTTTCTGTTATTTTTACTTGGAGGAGATAGTTAGGCCTTTTTTTTTACTTCCAGTGCATTTAAATTAGTGCTCAGTAAAAGCAGACAAGCAGACTGTGAACTGTGAAAACGGTTTACTAGTCGATACAAATTGTGTATCAGTCTGAGAGCTTGTAAAGGCAATTTAGAACATAGAAAGTTCAACGTGTTGTTTTGCGTGTTACTTTATTTTTTGTATTCACGTTATAGTTTGACAGGGGACAGCTTTTAAAGAATATTACCACGGTGTATTACGCTCGTGCAAATCTATTGTACTGCCTATTGAAACGCCAATGTCGTGGGTTTCTAAGGGAGCTACGTCACAGCTTGCGCTTCTTAAAAAGTTTAGCGGACATTTTTCAAGTTTGTCGTTTGTAATCCGCGTTAATCTTCTCCATCCTTAATTATCCCGTGACTGAGCTCCTTTGAATTATAACTTTTCATTTGTTCTTCTTTCAGTTGGTTAAAAAACTTGTGGAGAAAGAAATGTTGTAGAAGCAAGGTTGCAGCGAGTGGCGAAATCAGGTTCAACGTAGAAGACTACTTGGAAAGTGAGAGATGTAAAGAAAAGCTTGGGGATTTTACACTCTCTGAATACAATGAAAAAGGTATACTCAGTTAAAACGTATTGTACTGTCACGTGCGAGTTTGCTGTCAATCACGTGACCTTCGCGATCGTTACCAATCATTTGGAAACCGGTTCAGTTTTTACCCTTACGTCGTTATTTTCATGCTGTTATTGTGACATTCTATGAGGATGTTCACACTGCAAACAACGACATATTAAACGTCCTTATTGTGTCCTTATGTTTATTTGTGTCGTTATGTCGCTAGTGTGAATTGGGCTTTAGGCTTGCTAGATGCGTCATAGCTCGTCATACACGTGAGGGTATTATCACTATGTTGCCCTAGACTTAAAACTGGAAACTTAGCAAACGGGCGACAAAAGAGATTTCAAGAATTTTTATCAAAACATTGCCAATCGGCTACGGCTCTGTAATGGCCCTAATATGCTGTACATAACTTGAGTCCTTTTCTTTTTTTGTCGTAAATACGTAGTGTTTGTCAGTGATCATTTCATTGTTTCTTACTGGTGTGTGATTATTGATTTCTTTTATTCCTTTGCAGTGCTGCAGTATGGATTTCTTATGGTAAGAGGCGTGGTTGAACCTTGAATTAAGAAAATTAGTAAACATTTGCTTGGAATGACCTTAGGCCTGTTTTATTTTCCTGAGAATTCTAGCAAAGGTAGTTTCTACAGTGACACAGAACTGTGGTGTAATGCCTGAAAACAAAAACAAAAACCAAACCAAAAAACGAATTTATAGGTACAAGGAAAGAGTTTAGGAAATAGAATCAACTTTTGCGACGATAACAATAAGCGATGAAGAGTCAAGCCTAGACTTTCTATCGCTTATTTTTAACGCAAAATTTATCACTAAGAAATTACCCATTCAGATTGAGCTTTGTCTGGTTTATAGCGGACATCACATTTTTAAAACTAAGAGAGTTGTAACGATTGTATCTAATACTTGAGTTATATGTTGAGATATGGCGGACGCTTTCTTTTTACAGCTATTTGCCGCAGCGTTTCCGCTGGCCCCACTGATCGCACTGCTGACAAATGCTATTGACATGAAGGTGGATGCCAGAAGATTGTTGTGGACAAACAGGCGGCCTGTCGCCTTTAGAGCTGAGGACATAGGTTGGTAAATTTCCTTACTTTTTACAAGCCCTCTTGAAATAGGTTCTTGCCTTCCCACACTTGTTGCCAGTGATATGTTTTTTCCTAGAGTTATGAATATCCCAATACAGTGGAACCCCGACTTACGGTCACCTCGTTATTACAGCCACTTTTTGTCCCCGCGAAACGTCTATACATTTCCGTATAAGAAAACCGACCACATTCTGAAATTCCAACCTGTATAATCCTTTATAATTTTACCCCGTTTATACGGCCACTCAAACCAGTTATGTCATCTTTCCATTGTTAATATTGTGCGACTGATTGAAGTTTCATTTTCTTTATAATTATATCTGCATTAAGGATGCTTATTAAAGATTAGTTGTTTACAAGTGCAGTTAATTATGATACATCTGCTAAGACTTCACTCAGCTTAGACCACTCATGAATTTTGACCCTACCATGTTAATACGGCCACCCCGCTAATACGGCCAAATTTTCATGGCCCGTTGGTGACCGTATTAACGGGGTTCCACTGTTCTTTTTTGTCGGGCCCAGTGATCGGCTCTCTGATAATTGTGGTCTTAGGTTTTTGACAGCAATGCAGTTACATGAATGCCTTGATAATTTAGCGCTGATCATTTACATTTCAGGCATGTGGTACAGCATTTTAGAATTCCTTAACGTAGCAGGCGTGGTTACCAACTCATTTTTAGTAGCATTTACGTCATCATATGGCCGTACATGGGAGGGTGATCCATCAACTACTAACACAACTGAGCTGGTATTCAACAACGCTACCAACACAACTGAACAGGTTTTCGTCATAACTCAGCACTTAGCTGGACCGAGCAGGCTGTGGCTCATTATTGGATTTGAGGTTCGTAAGCTTGTTGGAAACCGCCTTCTCAAACTCATTAATAATTCATCAAGTTAAAACAAAGAAAATCACAACCGTGAAGGAGGTTTGGATACCCGGTCTTAATCAGCTTAGATTTTGACGATTTTAGTTCTCCGTTTACTCGTTAGTTTTTGTTTCATCAGCTATCCAAACACCTCGAATTTCGTCAAAAATACTCCGCTGCGCGTCGTATTTTCAACTCTCTTCTCGGTGTTTGGATATCCCGATGAAATACTGTCCCTCGTGTTATTACGTCCACAGTTAGAGACCGTTTTTCCATTAATTTTAATACCTTTAACTTTCCACTGATTGCCTAATCACTCGTAGCACTTTCACTCCCAGATACTGACATTTAAAACAATTGAACAAAAATAAATATAAGCCCACAGCCCACTACGGACCTATTTTTTTAAAGACCTTGTCATACGGGAAAGACGGCAATTTCGTCTAAGCCAAAGCTTGATGTCGTATAGTCCAAGGTTGTGGTGCGTTATGAAAATTTATTATTTTAATTGCAAAGCAAGCACTTTGTTTTGGCAATGAAGATAATTTCCTTTAGCTCCTGAATTGAGAAGTACTGAGTTTCTTTTATTCAGGCAAGGCATAATGGTAAAACTCACCTGAGAGATTTGTATCGTTTTTTCAGCACATTGTGTTCTCAATCAAGTTCCTGATTGCCTACATTATACCCGACACACCTGCTGATGTCAAGATGGCGCTGTCCAAGGTATGTAGTGAAAGTGCAGTGCTACACATTTCACTGATTGCCGGGTTAAGCTCCAAAAGATCAAGACTGGTCTCAAAATAGCTTTGTCACGGTTTGCGCGTCTCGAAGAGTTTAGCCTAAATTTTTAAATGTTCTTCGTTTGTAATCCGTGTTAATCTGCTCCATCCTTATTCCTTTATTGATTATTATTATATAACTCTTTGGTGTTTTTCTATCTCAGTAAACTCTTATTTTCAGGTTTCCTTCAATTTAAAAGTAATTTTGTACGTGGCCAAAATAACTCAAAATACAGTGACTGAGCTCCTTTAGGTTATGTCTCGTCGGAACTGTAATTTTAATTCAGTTGGAATTCACATCTGTTTTTTCCTCCTTAAATCGAGGAAATTAGATTTTGTACCCTTCGCCTTGCCCTTCAGCTCAACAGTTAAGTAAGTCTGTACGGAGAAAGTACGTTTTGGTCACTATTCGGTGTGAATTATAGTAATCAACCTTGTGTTTGTTTTCTTGAAGGAAAAGTACCACGTGACCAATATTCTTGCCAAAGCCGGTGTACGAAAGGGGCCTGGCAACAGACTGGCGGAATCGGCCTCTTCTTTCAAAAGTCGCGGATTTGAGAGTGATACTTCACTGGTGACCTCATCAGATGTTAAACTGACCGCCAGCGGAAGGAGACTGGACGACAGTGGAAGACTGGAAGTGGTTGTAGAAAGTTCACCAACAGGGGGTAGTGTAGGGAGACACTCGCCTACCCCACGGGGACCAGCCCGCCTTGAGCCCCTTCCGACCAGCTACACATCTAAACACTCAATTAGATCGTAATTCGCATGTACTATATATTTCGTACGTATGTAAACCTGTTGTCCGCTAAGCGACAAAGAAAATAGTATCTTTGGTTGTTAAGCTTCTGTTTGCCACAGAGATGGGATTTCTTTAAACAGTATTTTATTTATTCAAGTTAAACTGAAGACAATAGGAAGATGTAGTAGTCTAAATGTAAAACTGGAAGATATTTTGTAATATTCTACCCATACGTTTGTAAAACAATAGGTAGCGGATATACGTAGAAAGATATATTTATCGTCATTGGTAGAAGAAAATGTCGAGGTTAAAAGCATTTAACTGTTTTTGAAGCGTTCGGTCCAGTATTTTATACCATGAAATGAAACTCCATTGCATACCGCTCGTGTAAACTGATATGTCCTTCGATTAAAAGCCTTTATTTTTTCCTCGTGTTTTCTCTTTTTGTTTTATTTTCACAAATATCTTTTATTTTGCTAAGTGGGGTGGACCATTTGGTTTTTGAGGGGGGGAGTGGGTGTTTTGGGAAAAGAAAAAAAAATTAAATTAAATTAAAAAAATAAATAAATAAATAAATAATAATAATAATAATAATAATAATAATAATAATAATAATAATAATAATAACGAAGTAAACTTTCCTGCGCACCACCACCGCCGAAAAACAAGTTCAGTAGCCGAAAAAAGCATGTCATGCGGAGGAAAAAAATATACATACACACGTCCCGAGAGGACATTCCTGGGGCATGAAAAGGTTACGAAATCACCCCCTACCCTCCTTCCCTCAAAAGTCAAATGGTCCACCCATTAGATCACTGGTAACATTTTATAAACGTGTGAAAATGATACTTTTCTTGCAAATTAGACGCTGAACTCTTGCCTGCAGGTCGGTCCACCACTCTACTCCATCACGTAAGAGAAATAGCGTGGCAATGACATTGATCGTTATCAGACTTTTAACAACTTTTCTTGTGACAAAGAATACTTAACACAATAAGTCAGCATTAGACTGCGACAGGAATTGCAATCTTCTCCCATACAAAGAGACATATCATATCAAACGCCTGACACGTTCCCTCAACAAAGGACTCAAATCCAGCAGAGAACTTTACCATTTCTCATGAATATTAGTTTTTGTTTCGTCTCGTCATTGTTATTAACACCTTATTTAAGAGCTACCTTGCAAGTATATTCTATTCTGATGATGGTGTAGTTCTTACCGAAATAAAACTCCTAGTTTTGCCAATTCCGACACAGTGAACATTCTCGGATTATATCATTCATTCTAACAGAGGCTTCGGATTTTATTCCGAAACCTAGTACCTGCAGAAAGGTTTAGTACATAGAGGATGAAATATAGAATATTTAAGAAATAGAAAACATGTACCATGTTTCTATCGAGTCATAGAAACACGCGTGGAGTTTGGAAGAACGAGAAATGCTGTGGGAACACGAGCCGCAGGGGAGTGTTTCCACAGCTTTTTCGAGTTCTCCCAAACTTTCAGGAGTGTTTCTTTAACTCGATAGAAACACGGAGAACATGTCTCCTATTTCTTTTAGAAAACACCGCGACGAAAAAAAGGAAAACAACCTGTTAACTTTGATTATCAAAATGTGAATTTTCTTTGCTCGCGCCATCATAACGTTAACAGCTCGTGCTAGTTCTGTGTTTCTATCGAGTTCTAGTGTAAATCTACTAGCTTTCTATCACGAATGCTGTTCTCTTATTGGCTACGCTACTCACTATCTATTCTGTGATGGATAGTGAGTAGCGTAGCAGTGTTCAGTTTTTAACAAAATGACGGCCGCTTCTTTGCATTTTCGAGGTGTCTGTGAAGAGGATTTAGATTAAGTCTGGAACGACTAGTAGACTTATACTAAAACAATTAGATTCTTCGCTCTCGATTTCTATGCGTGATAGTTGACGAGGGCGCAGCCCGAGTGACATGAACTATTTAACAAATAGATTCCATGTTGCCGTTCGTCTGTTCAGTAATAGATCACAGATGACGTCAAAATGTGGTAAGAACAAAAAAGTGGCACACGA